GTCCTTATTTTGTTAATGTGTACTGGAAAATTCCTCAAAGTGAGTTAGGGAATTTTCGAATTATTTGGCTCGTCCGGATTGTTCATTTATTATTAATGAGAGAATATCATATGAACAATTGGTAGATATAATTTACGAAAATGGTGGATTTCGTGATAGTTGGACAATTTCGAATATTACTTTCATGGTCTAACAACCGGATGGGTCGTTTATTCCCGTAAGACTGGATAATGATAGTGCGCTTGAGTGGATTTACTACTATCCTCGTATGTCTGTTGTGTTTTTGTATATTGTGTTGGAAGCAAACACACAGGTTACACAGGTTGAGGATCCTGCCCCATCATATGGTTACGGGGGAGTGTTTGGTGATCAGGGTACATGGACTACGCATGCCGGTAATTTTGGTGAAGGGACGAGTAATTTCGGCGAAGGGACGAGCTTTATCATGAGAGGACCAGACATTGAGGAAGAAATTGTTGGAGATGAAGATTTCAGTCCCGGTGAAGACGATTTCACTGATGAGACGTCGGAAACCGAATCGGACAGATCAATTAATGAGGAAAGCGAACAAGAATTCATTGAAGAACACCCCTTTCCAAATGAAGGCCTCCACTCATATCGCGAGATGGGTGAGTGGGACGCGTCGTGTGTAGACAGGGATGAGTATGCCTTGCCACTCTGGGATGGGCATGTCGAGACTATTTGTTTGGGTACAGTTTTTCGTACCAAGGAAGAAGCTCAGACTGGTGTTATGGCCTGGAACGTTGAGAATCTTAGGGCTGTCCGGACAAAAGATTCGAACAAGAGGTCGTTCAAAGTTGTGTGTAGATCGGATGAAGTTCCACCATGTATATGGAAGGCTCGGGTGAGTCTCAACACACGGGTTCACGACATGTGGGAGGTAATGGAATGAACCGATAGCCACACTTGCATGCAGGTGTTCGAGAGAAATGACCATAAGAATGTGACCGCCACCATGATCTCAAATCTTCTGTTGGCTAAGATTCAGAAGCAGGTGACCTACAGTGTGGAAATGGTGCAGGCCGACGTAAAAAGCGCCTGGAGCGTCGATGTCAGCTATAAGAAGGCGTGGCACGGGAGAAAAAAAGCCATCGATCGTGTGTATGGCACGTGGGAATCGAATTTTCCACAACTCCCCCAGTAAGTGTCGAAATTAATTATTAATGTATTTCCTTGTTAGTTGTAACTATATTTAATTATTTATTTATTTATGGTTACCTTTTATAATTTTTAGGTTTTTCGCCGCCATTCAAATGGCGAATCCCGGTACAGTTGTTGAGTGGCAATGGCAGGGTGGGGAATTGGCGCATCATTCTCGAGACCGAAATTAATTATTAATGTACAATTGAAGTCAATTTCGTACAATTGAAATCAAATTAGTACAATTGAAGTCAATTTCTGATACGGATCCAACCCTCGGAAGAGGTTTCTACCAACCAAGCCAAATTCTTCAGCAGGATAATCAGGTACAATTGAAGTCAAATTAGTACAATTGAAGTCAATTTCGTACAATTGAAGTCAACTTCGTACAATTGAAGTCAATTTCGTACAATTGAAGTCAAATTAGTACAATTGAAGTCAAATTAGTACAATTGAAGTCAAATCAGTACAATTAAAGTCAAATTAGTACAACTGAAGTCAAATTAGTACAATTGAAGTCATTTTCGTACAATTTCAGTTAATTTCGTACAATTGAAGTCAATTTCGTACAATTGAAGTCAAATCAGTACAATTGAAGTCAATTTCGTACAATTGAAGTCAAATT